GGAGATACTGGTTGATCTCCTTGTAAGGAGGCAGACTTAGCTGTATCCTTACCTTTGCCCTTTGATTTTGCGCCTTTGAAAGAGCTTCCTTTGTCTTCCTTTCCTTTTCCTTTCCATTTGCCTTTTCCACCTTTTCCTTTATCCTTTCCTTTTCCTTTACCGAAATAGCCGGAATCGGTTGGATCATGTTCTGCCTGGTTGGCTCTCCCTTTTCCGCGATATGACCTAAAACGGCCACGTCTCTTTCGCTTGCCACCCTTTGCTCTTCCCGGTGATCCGGGACGCATTCTCGGTCTTCTTCCCTTTTTGAATCTCCTCGCAACGAAGGCCTCATGATCATCTACTGTCCAAAAGACAGCTTCCTCATCAGCTGCAAGAAAGCCTTCCTCGAGGGTGTCTTCGTCTTGGAGCCAGAAGCCATCTACTCCATCGTATTCACCCTGATCGAGGATGAGGAAATTCCGACCTCCGCGTTTGCGGCGTTGGTCTCTCCTTCCATGGCGGTCCTTCTTGTGAGAAGTGTGCCGAATATTGGGATCCTGCAGACCAGTTCTGGTCGTTGAGAACTGATCGAACATGGTCTGCCGTACCACAGGGTACGTGTAGGTCTCAATTCGGTACCCTTGGTTGGTCAATGCTGATACCAACCTCTCACGTTGAATCTCATTCAGGTCGGACTGCACTAGGAACAGGAGAGCTAGGAGATTATAATTTAATGGAAACTCTCTACGATGACTGTCAAGGCGTTCCTTGTTCCACGTCTCAAAGTATCGTGCGGCATACTGGTCCCTTTCGGCTGCATCCTGCAGGCGTATGAAGGTTGGATCTTGCTGTGCTGCAGCTACAAACTCCTGGTTGGCATCTTCCAGGTTTATCTCTGGTAAGAGATCCATCCAAGAGTTTCTCAGTCGATTCAGCACGATCTCAAACTTAGCAATCCAAGTGACAAAGTCCTGGTTGCCTTTCCACGCCTTGAACAGGCCAAGGAACCGCCACAGGAAAACGTACTGTTCACCTTTTACGAAAAATGGACGCATCTTCTTCTTGAAGTAGTCTACTCCATCTGGGGCTGCAAGCCTTTCTCGATTCAAGGATTCCTTCTGCACTGCGGCCAATCCGGAGAGCCTCGTCTTGAGAGACGGACCTCTTTTGTTCTCGTCCAGCGTTGTTATGTCACACCAGTCGTCAATCAACTGTTCATACTCAAACCACGAAGTGGTGCCATCATAGGCAGGCGCGATCTTGGGCGTTATGCCTAGTGAGGCCAGCATGCGGTCAGATGATGCATATGACTGTGCGACATAAGTGGCTGGACCTTGTGAGGTCTCTTCGTCCTCGTATCCCCCGGAGGATTGGGAGCTGTCGTCGGCTTCGCTGTGCGAGCTCGACATGGTGCTGCCTCAGCCCGCTTTGCTAAGCGATCGGCTGAAAGCCGACCGCTGTTGCGGTGCTTTGTGAGGCGGGCGGCCCTTCCGGGCTCCGCTACCAGAAAACTGAGCCGATACACCCCTTTAGGATTACTCCTGTGGGAGTGTATGACCAGTTTGTGTCCCGTGGGATCTAAGGCAACGCCCAGCACACGGACAGCGAGTGTTTTGTTCTGCTACGCAGAGAGAGCTTGTGTCAAGTCGGTAAAACCACTTGAGCCAGCGAGCAGCGGACATGTATACATGTGAGCATGCAGCCAAGCCATTGCTGTAAGTACCACCTCTTTAGAGGTTTAGGCAAACAGGGGGGGGGGGCTTATTGTTCCTTCAAAAGGGGAACAACAAGGACGGGGGGCTTATCGTTCTCTCAAAAGGGGAACAATTGTGGGGGGGGGTCTCAAAATGGGAACAACAATGGGGGAAGGGGGGGTGGGGTTGTTGTTCCCCAAATCCATGAACAACAACCCCGCCCCCCCCCCCCCACTGTTGTTCAACCCCCCCCCCTCCCCGCACCTCCGGTTACGGGGTGGGGGGGTTGTTGTTCCCCAAATCCACGAACAACAACCCCCCCCACCCCTCCCTATCGAAGCGGTCTCAAGAAACTTACGGGGAGTCCGTACTGATGGGCGACCCCTGCCCTTGCTGACCATGAACAACCGCACACCTTGTAGCTTACGTACTGGACGCTCTGGCTTTAGCCTTCGCCATAGCCTTCGCATTCGGCTGGGGCCCTTCGTTTCCTCCACGAACCCGCATCTGGATCAGGTCATTCAGCTCCGATGTGGACAAGCGAGCCAAAGCTGCTTTCAGCTTTTTGGATGGAATGAGGAGTGGAATGATGAGCCACATCGTGGACCAGAATGGGAACCACCGCCTAGTGACCGCTGGGAAGATGAAAGTATGGCCGGCGGTGGAGCAAGCTCTAGCCCGAACTGGCACCGACCGTGGGCTGAGGAGACCCGGGCACGCACAGCTCAGAGCCAGAGCACCGCGCAGTACACACGCGATGGGTGGGACAGCTGGTGGAGGTCGCAACACCATTCTCGCCAGCAAACTCGCAACAATTGGCAATGATGGACATTTTGCTGTTTTCAATGCTACCTTTCGGCTGCCCCTCTCTTTAGGGGGGCCGGCCTTGGGGGGGACCTTTACGTCCCCTCCTCTACGCTTCCATGCCTTCTTCCTGCTCCTTCTTGCAGATGACTCTGTCTGGAGAAAGGATGAGGATTGCCTTCTGGAGAGCAATGGGTCAATTTTTCGTACACTTCCAGTGGACTGATGGAAGCCAGATCTGTGGGATTCGGCGGACGCGTCTACTTGAAGGGTATCGACGTTTATACCTTGCTCTGCTGGTGGTCGCCTGGAATTCATTGGTGATTTCGCGCATAAACGTTTTTCACTGAATGAAAGGGCGGAAGGCCTGGAATGAAGACTATGTTTTCATGCGTGCTGAAGATGTTCTGATGCCGAGGGCTAATTCGTTGTCTCACCTGCATGCTTGAAAGTTAGGGCGCCTTGGTTCTTCGGTTGCTTCTGGTTTTTGTTGGGGTTGGGGGGTTTGTCGGGTTTGGGCTTTTTGTTCGTGGGTTTTCTTGTTTTCGGGTCTCGGTCGGTCTTCTCTCTGGCGGGTGGTTTGTTTGGTTCTTGGTTTCGGGGTTTTCCTTTCGGTTGGGTCTTTTGTGGGTTTTGCGCCGAGTGAGTTTGTTTCACATCTTAACAGCCACTGAGCCGCAGTCGCAGCAAGGGCTTCTCGTGCCAAAAAACTGTGGCGGGAGCGCGATTCGCCGGGCGCGATTTACGAAATAGCCGAACGCCGAAGTCCTGTAATGTACAATGAATTCGGCCGTTTCGGTCGTCCGGTCGCCGCGGGGCCGGACGCGGGGCCTAGGCGAGAGCGCGATTTCGGTCCAAATCGAGCACGGCGCCTAGACGGGAAGCATGGCCCCGACCGTGTGCGCCGCCGCGGGCGTCGCGGCGTGTCAGTGACCAGGGTCAGCTTTGCTCCTAACGTAAGAACCCCATCGTGTTAGCACGCTGTTTGGGGAATTGAAAGACAATTGCCTAAAACACGGTAAAAGCTGAACAACAGCTGAAAATGTAAAGCCCACAAGCTGGCAATATTGAATCTGCTTTTTCAGCTTGGGCTCGATTTTAGGGTGTTCAACGCGTTTTCTTGTTTTTGGGGGCTGGTGGAGCTGTTGGAATTTCAAGCTTTCTTTTTTTTGCCAGCTTTCGGGCGTTATTTTCAGGTGTTCGGGTTTTCATGATTTTTGAAGCTTTCAGGCTTGTGCTTCGAATTGTTCAATGATTTCCAGTTTTTGTTTCAGTCGTCGGGCTGTTTTTGTTTTGAAACGTTCAGCCCTGTTTTCGACTTTGTTCAGCGTTTTTTTACCAACTTTATTGTGAGCTTTTGGGCTGGTTTTTTCGGTGTTTCAGGTTGATCGGTGGTTTGTCAGATGTTTTGTTTAGGTTTTTCGTTTTTCCAGCTTTTTCAGTTTTCAGCTTTTTTTCAATGTCTTAAAGCTTTCGGGCCGGTTTGAAGCTCGAGTGTTTCAGCTTTTTTCCAGCTTCCGGGCTGGCTTTTGGAATTTTCATGCTTTCAGCTTTATTTCAGCTTTGCTCAGCTTGTTGTGCAGCTTTCGGGCTAGTTTTTTGAATGTTCAGCGTGGTCCTTTAATGGCTTGCAGTGTGTTTTTTTAAAAGGCATTTTACGCAGCCTTCGGTCAGCTTTTGTCACCTTGTTTGTAGCTTGTTTCTTCAGGGTTTTCAAGCTTGCCTTTTCATGTTTGAAGATTTTTCAATAAATTGCTTTTGTGCTCCCAGTGTGTCCAAGGTGCACAAGGCGCTGCCGCTACCCGTTCCCCCTGGGATTTTTCCATGGCTGCTCAGGGCTTTGGGGTCTCGGGGGGCCTTGCCGGGCTAATCATGGGCCTCTGCTGAGAGGACGTGCTGGGCAAACTTCAAAAAGCCAGGTTTGTCGGAATCTGGCAGTTTGACATTGGGGGTTTTGTTTAGACCCAGCCCGGGGGGTCTAATATGCGGTGCTGGTGTCAGACCCCATTGTACTGTAGCTGACGGGATTCTCCATATATACACCCGATAAACCTAAACCCACAGGTCGAGAAGTGTACGTTGCTCTTTCGGCATGACTAGCCCGGTCTGCGGAATGCCAGGCCCTTGCCCGTGGTGAGCTCTCAAAGTATTTCCTTGGCCCAAACTTGAAAGGTGCGAGCCTTACAGACACGTAGTTCAAGAAGGCTCGAAGCTACAGAAGGCAGAAGGTGTGCATTCCATGGGGCTTGCAGCGAGTTGTGGCGTTTCAGCAAAGCTCCCGCGCAGCTTGTATGCTCACGACTACTCACACCCTGCTTCCAGAAGATCGTGCGCCGCCGTGCTGGGTCAGTGTTGTGGAGAGTCTCACGCAATCCATGCATGAGCTAGAACGCTGCATAGATGTGAAGTTTTCACGAAATACAAGATTGCAGCATGCTAAAGACATCGGGTATTTGCACATCTTTCCAGTTGCGGGTTCTGAAATCGTGTGCGATCTGTGATGCTCAGTGGATGGGAGCCATGGCTATCATGAAGCTGGCGGCCTGGCTTTGGTGGCTCTTTGCGCAAAGCCGCGCTCGCAGTTCCAGCTGCGAGATGCGGAAGTCTTGCAGGAAGTGGGCAGCACACCTGGCACCGCACTTCCAGTGATCTCCGGGGTCAGCTTATTGCGTTCCCATTCGTGTCTGGCGCAGAGAGCTTGAGCACCAAAGTGTTGTACAGCGCTCCCGTGGGAATGCTGCAGAACTTCAAAGACATGGACATGCCCATGTGTTCCCTCCGAAATGGAGCCTGGGCGATTTTGAGGTGGTCTTCGAAACAGAATTCCTTCACGGTCTTCTTGTTTGAAAAGGTTCCTCTGCAGTATGACCTGAGCTCCGCTAAAGAGCTAGCGCTGGATGCTCCCCTTCCAGATTTGGCCAATGACTCCGAGATACTGGAGCTGGATGATGGCTTGGCTCTGCGAGTGCGCGACCACTTCCTCTTCTGGAGCGCAGATGCGCTCCAGCGAGGCGGCCCTCCGTTTGCAAGGGTTTCGGCAGACCCGAATGCAATTTTCCGTGGCCCCAGCATTGCATGCTGCGGGGGCGTGCTGGTTCGGGAAAACCTTACACACGCTGAATGTCAGTATCGCCTGTTCATCATTTCGCCAGCTCAGGCGGGTGGACAAGTGTCCAGTCACGTGGTTCTCAATGGGACTTCTACAGACTTTGTGACCGCAGAGTCGTTGCCTCAGGGCGGCCTTGCCTTGGCTTTTTACATCCCCGCTGGTTTACCTTTACCAACTTTAGATATTCAGATCTTTGATAAGTCTGCTGTGTTGAGCGGTGGCCCGGCTTCTTTTCACATCCCGCAGAAGACGATGTTTGATACTCCTCTTATGATGGCTAGCATGGCCTGCGTGAATGACGTGCTGGCGCTGGTCGATCCGGGATTTCTTCAAAACTATCCAGATCTCGTCTTCATTCTCTTGGGAAACCCACAGCACTGGTGGAAGACAGCAGTGCGATGTGACGCTAAATCCCCAGTCCAAGTTCGTGCCCTCGCCCTCCCAGATCACTTGCTGGCCATAGGGTGTCAGAGCTCCGAAGGTGAGACAGCGGTGCAAGTAGGAATTTACAACGTGACTGCAAACGTCTCCCTTGTGGGAGCCCTTGACCTCGGTGTGGGGAGACTGGTTCTGTCTTCGAAGCGATGATCCCATGGGGCCACCGTGGCCTAGCTGTTGCAATCCGAGAAGGTTCAATGGGGTCTGCAGCCAGCGACTGGTACATCTTCAATTACTCCAGGGCGGTGAGGGGCTACGTCAACTTCTGGACCTTCATCAACATGTCAGATGTTCCTGATGCTCCTCTACTTGGTGATGTAGTGCCGCTGGGTGGAGGTTTCGGAGTGCAGCGTTCTGAAGATTCGATTTACTCGCAGCTAGATGATTTCTTCATCTTCATGTTCGATGACCGGGGCCCACCATGGAAGCCCAGAGCCGCGGCCCCGCGACAGATGAGGGCTTTTTCGGGCCACTGGGTGCCTTTGGAAGAGGATCTCCTGCTCTACTATCAATCCGATGGAGCCAACCAAGTTTGGAGCATGGAGAGCGACGCATCCCCGCAGGAGCTCTGCAATTGTTCTGTCTTTGGAAGAAGCCATTCTTTTTCTTCTGTGTCTGCAAGTGACGAGGGCACCGTCGCTTTTCAGTTTCTTTATTCCAACACTGTCTATCTATTGCGGTCTGGCGCCATGCGCGCATGCAGCAACTCTTCTTCTATCAAGCTACAGGTATTGGGGCCCTGCCCTTCTGACTCTTTCATCCTCCAGGGCATTGCAAGCTGCTGTGGAGGACCCTATTTGCGAAACCAGAAACCTGCAAGCCCAAGCCCACGACGCTGGACACTGAACCTGAAACCCTCCAATTTGAACCCTATAGCCCCGTAAATCAAAAACCCTAGTTACCCTGAATCCTCCTCCCTAAGTTATCCGAGAGGACCTGAGGGCGCAGGAGAGGGTTGCATGGGGGATGCATGGGGGGCGTGTATTGGAGGTGTATTGGGGGCACACAAATCAGGAGGCTTGGCGGTTGCTGGAACCTGTCAATCTGTGAATTACACATACGCCTCTTCGTGGGTGCTCTTGTTCGATGCCGCCACAGCTCAGCGTGGAGGATCGCCCTTCTCTCAGTTGCAGGTGCGGTTTTGGGCAATTGGGCGGCCCAGGCGTAGGGATCAGGGATTAGGGATCGGATACTTGAGGTACCTCGAGTTGCTTAAGCCAATGCAACCGTGAGGTTAACTGTAGACAGATCGTGGGAAGACCTCAATGCAATAGGTTCATGTGCAAGAACGAAGGGAAGAACCGCAGGTCGTCAGAAGGAAATCACAAATTCTTCAATCGTTTTCCTCACTTTTGTAACCCGCGGACTGGGCTGACTAGTTTAGGATTTAGAGCAAGTTGCAAATGTGCTGTGCTCATTGCGGGCTTCCAGTGTTCAAGGCACGTTGCCGTTAAGGTCTGAAACCTTCGGCAAACCTCCAGGTGGTTATCGGTTGCGTTCAGGGCTTTTCCAAAGGGTGGTTCGGAACAGTTAGACGTTGTTCAAAAAGCGGATTCGGCACCGATGAAATCGGCTGTTGGAAGAAGTGTTGGAATCGTGTGGCGGGCTCAGTTGTTGCATGCATATTGTTTTGCCATCGAGTGAAAGTTGAGCGCAGTTCTTCGACATTCAGTCCTTCCTCTCATAGCCACATGTGTGCAAAACCCGGGAAAGTTTGGTTGGATCCATTTTTTCGAGCCATTTTCCCGAGTACCCTGGGATACCATGGGAAACCATGGAATACTATTTGGATACCATGAGATACCATTGGCCGTCTCAATTTGCGATTGGGTGTCGGCGTGTTCGCGGACGTTTCAGCGGAGAAACTGGGAGAAACGAAACTGAGAAACTCCAGCTGCGTTTCCCTCTCTGCTGCAATGCCACCCCTTCCCGCCCTCCGCCCTTTCCCGCCCTCTTTTCCCCCCCTTTCAAGCATCCCGCCTCCCCCAAGCTCCCATAAACAAAATTCCCACGAAGACCTCCCCCTGCCCGCCGGCTTCAGCACCCTCCTCACCTTGCGGATTGTGCCTGGCAGGTCGGCAATGGATTTGCGTCGGTGATGCCTTTGGCGGATGGGGGCTTGCTCGTGGGCTCTCAGCACCAGCTGCAGGTTTATGAGCCCACCAGCGTGCAGCCAGGAGGCACTGCAAAACCATCTTTCCAGCTTGAAACGAGTGCTCCGGCCCGCAACATCCAGGTAGTGGCTAAAGATTCTGCAAGGGTCCCGGAGTACCTGATTTTGGACAACATGATTTACAGGATGGGAGGCTGTCCAGACATGAAATACGGAGAGCGCGGGGCCTGCAAGCCTTGCCCAGCTGGGTTGGTGTCACTTCAAGGCTCCACTTCTTGCGCTTTTCGATCTGGATGGCGTGTGTTTTGCGCCTTGAGCCTCAGTTTGGTATTTGGCTTTGCCTCCGTGGTCATTGGTAGCCGTGTCGATGGTGTCTTGGAGCCACAATCTCAGTGCTTCAAAGCCGCCTGGGGCTTGGCCTTTTCCTTGGTTCTGCTCCCGGTGGTGTGCCGAATGCTGCGCAACGGCCTGCTTGTAGCAACACTTTGCATTGCACTGCTGTGCATTGCAAGCGGCCTTACTGCTGTCAGGTACCAGCAGCTGGACAAGCATTTTCGCTTGGCTGTGCTTTGGAAGGCCAGCATGCTGGCGTGCAAGACTGTGCTCCTGGCCATGCCCACCCCGAGCGCACAAGTCTTGATGGACTCTATGCTGAGTTGTGGCGCTGATGCTTTCTGCCCTGATAGCTGCCTCATGGGGGGAGGCTACTCCGCTTCTGTAGGCTTGAAGTGCAGGTGCATTAAAGCAGAAGCGAACAGCCTGATCCAAGTGCTGAATTGGATGGCTGGCGTCGTCCTTTGCGGGCTGACTGTTCAAGACCTAGCTGGCTTTGGATCAGCCTGGCTGGTTCCGTGGGAGGTTTCCCCTTTCAACCGGACATGTGGAGCCATTGCGCTTGTTGGTGCTGCCGCGATCAACATCATCAGCTGCATCTTCGCGATCCTGCTCGCGACGGCTCCTGCCTACTGCTACCTGGGCGGCCCCTCGTTGAAGACATCTGTCGTAGTACCTCACAGTGTTTCAGCTCTGACCGCACGTGTCTGGGATCATTGCTGCTGCTTGTGGTGCTGGTGGTGCGGTGCTAGTGCTGGTGCTGGTGTTTATCGTCGTCTTCTTGTTCTTCTTCTTCTTCTTGTGGTGGTGGTGGGTGGTGGTGGTGGTGGGGGCGTTGGGGTCGTTGGTGGCGTTGGGGGCGTTGGGGGTGCTGGGGGTGTTGGGGGCATTGGGGGCGCGTTGGGGTCGTTGGGGGCGTTGGTAGGGTGGCGGCGGTCGGTGGTCGCAGTCGGTGGCGATGGCGGTGGCAGGGTGGCGGTGGGGCTCGCTAGCAGGGCCTGGAAAGCTCGAACGGGACGGATCCACCAGCAAGCAGTTCCGTGTTGGGTTATGTCGCGTAGCTCTGTCTAAATGTTTGCCCCAAGTTCTGCAGCCAAGGCAACAACTATGGTGCTTCCTGTGCTGCCCTTGATGCTGCTCGCGAATGAAACCCGATGGATCATCGCCACCTACAAGAGGGACGCGGAAGCGGCGAGCAAAGCGCTGATTTGGTCAGCCTCAGGCTCCCGAGTTCTGAGTCTTCTGACCCTGTTGGGCGCAGTTTGGTCTGCTGTTTCCATGTGGCAAAGGCCCCCCAAGGAGACTGGGAGCCTCTGCCGCGGTGTACAGTGGAGCATGGTGGGCCTTTTCCTTTTCACGGCTCCCTGTTCCCTTGCATGCGCCCTGCTCCGCGCTGCGCGCAGCGACGAGGCTCCCTTACGTGCTGAGCTGGGTGCCACGCCAGGCTGATCTTGAAACTAAGCTCATCTCATTTAGGCTCCAGGCCCTATACCTGTCTCCGCAAGTTTGCTTCCCCCACATGCGTGCCAGATGGCTCCTCATTGTTTCATGGTGGGCCGTTGCCTCTTCAGGGCTCCCTGCTCCCTTGCCTGCGCCCTGCTCCGCGATGCACGTGCGGAGAATCTACATCGTGCTTCCATTTTTTGGTAACAGGAATGCAAAGCCGCATGAGTCCGGGCAGTGACATGACGCTCCATCATTGAATCCGACAATTCTTGAACTCCAGACCTTGCCCTAAGTCGAAGCTCTAAGCCCAAACCGTTAAACCCTAAACCCTGACATGTTGTGCTTTGCATTGCGGCCCTAAAGATCGAGAGTGGGGTATAGACCATCACGGTGTGGTTTTGCAGCTTCCTTGGCACCCGAGACCAAAAGAGAGAGTGTCAAGCTGCTTGCACCATTGACTTGGACTCTTTCGCAAGTTAAGCTTGCCAGCGACAGTCCGCCCCCACTCAGGTCGTCCACAACAGGTTCGCGCGCCAGGAGCCCGCCGCGCGCCCAGGCCCGCTCTCAAAAAACCTCACGCCGCAACCCTTACTCCCAAAAAGTTGTCAACCTTGTCACCCCTCCGTGAATCACGCAGGGACCTCCAGGTAGCAAGGAAATGCTTGACAACTTTGAGCAGGTTCACCTCGGCCATCTGGCTATGATCAAGCGCAGTCGTGCCGGCCTTTGAGGGTTTAGGGGTATGGGTGACCCTCACCCCTAGCCCCCCAACCTAGCCTACCAAATGCCTTGCAAGGTTTCGAGGTCTGTTCGGCTCCAGGGAGGTGAGTTTAGACAGCGAGTGCGCGTTCAGTGTAGGGTTTAGGGCCGGCTTAGGGGTGGGCCCCTCCTCGGTTTAGGCTGTAGGCGTGCCGGCTTAGTTTAGACCCCAGCCCTAACCCCGGCTTGATGCTCTGGATGCTTTTTTGTCGCCTCTAATTATCTGGATGCTCACTGATGCCCTGGGCTCTAGATGCTTTTCTGATGCTGCTCAGCCGCCCTTATCTGACGCTCACCCGTGGCTCTCCGGATGCTCATGGTACCCTAAACCCCATCTTGGACCGAAAAGCCAAAGTTGAAACTAAAATTATGGCACCTTTCGGGCTTTGTCAGCGTTCCCAGCTGCTCTGATGCTCATTTTGCAGGTGTTTTGCGGCTCAGCCGTGCGGTGTTGCTGCCTTCGATCGAAAAAACAAAAGTTGAGACTAAGATTATGGCATCTTTCAGGCTTCGTCGCCGTTCCCAGCTCTTCTGATGCTCATCAGCCGCGCTCAGGAGGCTCTCGGAGTGCTCATCCGCCGCCCTCGGGATGCTCGTTTGCAGCCCTTCTGACGCTCACTTGCAGCTCATCGGCGGCTCTCGGGATGCTCATTCGCAGCTCATCTCCTGCTCATCGGCCGCCCTCATCCGCTCGGGCACGGTGCTTGGGATGCTCATTTTCAGCTCACCTGATGCTTCTCCGCGGCCCTCGGGATGCTCATCAGCCGCCCTTGTCAGCCGTCGCGCTCTTGCCCGGCTCTCGTCCTTGCCGCAACACCTGCTTCCAAAAAGTTGTCAACCTTGTCACCCCTCCGAGGGGCGCGCAGGGGCCTCCGGGCCGCAAGGAAACAGGGTTGACAGGGTTGACAACTTTTTTGAAGCAGCCGCCCGGGCTCAGCGCACCAGGGCGCAGGGGTCTGAGCGAGCCGCGGAGAGGTGACAGGGTTGACAACTCTTTTTGAGCAGGGTGTTTCTGCGCGGGGTTCTCGAGCCGCGGAGGGGTGACAGGTTGACATCAGTTCGAGCAGGATGTTTCTGTGCGGGCAGAGGCCTTCTGGGCGAGCCGCAGAGGGGTGACAGGGTTGACACCTGTCTCTTATGTAGCAAGCCCCAGCCCCCCCTGAAAGCTATCCACAGGCAGCCTGAATGAAAGTGGATTCCATCACATGATCGTCTCGAGGTAGCGTCTGCAAACAAAGCGGCCTCGTGGCCGCAGGCCCGCAAGTTTGACGGCAGCCGAGACGCATTTTGGGGCACTTTTGGGGGTGAGCGTTCCGACGAAAATGCCTCGAGAGGAGCAAGAATCTGGGGGGTCCCTTGCTTTCTCTTTTTCCTTTCTTTTTGTTGTTCCCCTTTTCCTGTTTTTTCCTTTCCCTTTTTCTCCTACCCTTCCTCTCCTACCCTTCCCTTCCTCTTCTACCCCTTCTCTTCCCTTCATCCCTTGACCCCCCAGAATCGCGACGAAGAGGCATATTCATTGCGAGTGCCCAAAAGTGCCCCAAAATGCGTCTCGGCTGCCGTCAAACTTGCGGGCCTGCGGCCACGAGGCCGCTTTGTTTGCAGACGCTACCTCGAGACGATCATGTGATGGAATCCACTTTCATTCAGGCTGCCTGTGGATAGCTTTCAGGGGGGCTGGGGCTTGCTACATAAGAGAGAGTCAAGGGATGCCCTCGGGATGCTCATTGGCGGACCTCGGGGCGCTCGCGATGCTCATGAGCAGGCAGCAGGCAGAGCCAAGTAGCAAGCGGCATATCCAAGGAAATGCATCTACAGAGCTTTGAATGGGCAGGAAATGCAAGAGGTAGCAAGGGTAGCAAGGAGTTCCGGAGCATGTAAACCGGACAGCGGGGAAGTTGGCAAAGCTCATCATTTTGAGCGCTTTACGCCGCCTGCCTCGAGATGCATGCTACGCTTGTTTTTCATCCATTTCACTTGAAAGTGCTTTGTCTTGTTTGGATCCAGTGACGACGTGTCTGTTGCTTTCCTGCCAGAGGAAATGAGCCAACACAACAAGCTTGACCACGCATCATCGACCATCGCCCCACCGCCACCACAGCCACCACCGCCGCCACCGCCGCCAGCGCCGCCACCGCCGCCCTCGCCACCGCCACCGCCGCCACCGCCACCGCCACCGCCACCACCGCCACCACCCACCAGCACCAGCAGCACCGTCAACTCACCACCAGCACCACCACCAGCACCACCCCAGCACCACCAGCACCAGCAGCCCCAGCAGCACCAGCAGCGCCAGCAGCGCCACCACCGCCACACACCACCACCACCACCACCACCACCACCACCACCACCACCACCACCACCACCACCACCACCACCACCACCACCACCACCACCACCACCACCGCTGCCGCCGCCGCCGCCGCCGCCGCCAGCGTCATAAGCATAATCATAATCCCCCTTCGCATCTTCATACTCATATGCATAACAATCAAACTCGCCATGCTCATCATGTCCTGCATGTTACCAGTTTCTTGCACGCTGTTGTGCTGTCGTTGCGGATGACAAAGACTACCTATATGTGTCTTCAGCCAAGATCGGCCCGAATCGCGTTTTAGTGTCAGTGGTCCATTCCCACGTGGTGAGTACGGCCGCGACATCCCAGGCCGGTCCAGACGTTAGGGTTCAGCATGTTCAGGGTTTCTGCGGGGTTTGGCTTAGGGTTTATGGTTCCTTAAACCTTAAATCCTAAACCCTGAACCCTGAACCCTAAACCCTAAACCCTAAAGCCTAAACCCTAAAGCCTAAAACCTAAACCCTAAAGCCTAAACCCTTTAAAGTTTTGGGCTTCTTCGGCTCCAGGGTTTAGGGACTTTTCATGGTTTTGGGCTCAGGATTTTAAAGGGGATCTGTAGGGTTCCTCAAAGGGATCTAAAGGGTTCCGATCTATGGGGTTGAGGGTTTAAGGTCTACTTGGAGGGGCAGGGGACTGAGTAAGTAGGTTATAGTTGGGGTAGCTCCATTTAGGATACTTATAACTCTTCTTACAACCTAAGTCCCCTGCCCCTCCAAGTAAGGGTGAGGGTTTCTTCCGTTCAGGGTTTAGGGATTGCATGTTTTCATGGAGGGATCATGAAAAGCTTCCAACTTCAGTGCAATGAGCCAGCTCCCTGCAATCCAAAGTGGCGTCATACTTTAGAAGTTTTGCTACGCCCTAAAACCCATTCGTTGTGAGGTTTCTGGTAACATCAGCTCTGGATCCTAAACCCGACAGCAAGCCCTCAACCCTAAACCCGGAACCCGAGAGTCCCGCTTCTGGGGTCTCCAGATCCAGAAAGATCCGCCATGAAACCCTGAACCCTAAACCTTAAACCCTACTTGGAGGATCATGGGACTTAGTAACTATGGTTATAAGTAGGTTTACGGTAAGATCCACCCTAAGCCCTAAAGCCATGAGCCCTACAACCTAAGCGCCCAAGCCCTAAGCCCGATGGCCCCCCGATAGCCCTAAACCCTGAACGCTAAACTTTCGGATGCTGCGAGGCGAAAAGACACGAGGGTTAAAAAAAAAGTTTCAATCCTAGTTATGGCAAGACCCACCAACTCTAAACCCTAAACCCCCAAACCCCCCCGCCTCCTCTGAAGCTTTTGGACCCGGAGGATCATGCAAGGGCGCGACGCGGCGGCTCCGTGCAGAGGCGCCTTTCTGCTTAAAGCGAAAAGTGAGGGTCAGCCTGGTTCAGGTTTAGGGTTTAGGGGTTTAGGGCTTCGGGCTTAGGGCTTAGGGTCTAGGGTTTAGGGGTTTAGGGGTTTAGGGGATGGGGTTTTGGGTTTTTTTTTGGCTTAGGGGTTGCTTAAATGCTCCTGAGTGGGTGGAATAGTGGCCCGGGACCTATGGGGGCTATTATCCTGCATACTTTGGGGTCCGGGTAAGGGTTACGGTTTTTTGGGTTTAGCTTTTCGGGTTTAGGGCGTGATGACACTTGAACTGCTTTGGTTGTGCTCCTCTTCGGGTCTGCCCTGGTTCTCCACAAAAATTCAATGTTTAGGGTTGTTTTGAGGTAACTTATCGTACAACCACGTGTAGCCCCCAGTTAAGGTACTTAGAACCATACGTACTAAGTCCCATGATCCTCCAAGTAGGGTTTAAGTAAAACCCTTACCCTAACCATAAGCCCTAAACCCCAAGACCCAAGAGCCCTGAACCTCCGTGGCAGGCTTCTGTCGACCTGATGACAGCCATCTGA